GGACACAGAGCCACGGACAAGCCGTGTGCAGTGTGTTTTGACGCGAGTTCACGCCACAGAGGGGTCAACCGCCGGCGGATATTTGTGACCCTGGTGGTTGACCTCAAAACGACAAGCTGTAATATCCCGCGCTTCATGGTGATTTAGGTGTAAACCCCATCGAAACTGTAGATTACGCAGCAAGTTCGGATACTACAAAAACCAATGACGTTATGAAGTCTGGAAGTCCCTGGTAAAGGAGTGGCAAATTCTCCGACATCTTGGTTTATGAGGAGGTTCTTACAGGACGAGTCCATAGGGCCAGTTCGAATTGTCAGGGAAGAGAGCCACAGATGTCGAGAAAGCCAAGCATGAGTGGAGAAATATCTCTGTTAATATCCAAAAGATTAAATTCGAGGTCCTAACTTCTTCACAGAGAGTGTGTGAAGCGTAGTGGTTGGAGGTGTCACCACGACACATACGTAATAGATGGTTCAGATCCTGGGTCCTAGGCTCTCTAAGCCTTCCAATTTCTTCGAGACCGCGAATTGTTACCAGATTGTCTGGGAGATAGTACACTGACTGATACTCGGTAGTCCACCATAAGTCATTCTAAAGGCCACATTGTCATACAGTCACCTCAAGCGATACCTGATGAAGTTGAATGCATGGCGTAGCCCTTAGGGGTTGGTTTTTCCACTACCACAGATACACGATGTATTCGTGAAATCAAAAACAAAACGAGGCCTATAAAAATAAAAAGCCTGTATACATGATCATACGGCAATGGTAACAGCGTATAGAGGTTGAAGTAATACTCCCGAACAATTTTTATTGAGTTATTAAGCTTACAAGATACTCCAAGATCTTATTATAGCCAAAATTCGACCGGCTTCGATTTTTGCTGACCTATAATGATCCAAAGGGTTGAAAGTCGGATTTTGACAAGCCCCATGCCTTCATAATAGAATTGAATTAACCGGTAATATTTCCCATTGATGTCCTCTAAACATTAACACAACAAAGAAGCAAAGCGGGGTGAATGTGAAACAAAGAAGTGAATGATAAAGAAAGAAAGGAGGACGCAACCACAAAGGAAAAGAAGATGCTCGAAAGGAAAAGCGGTAACTGCTAGTAAGTAGGACCTTCTCATCAGCCTAATCCAACTAGTCACCTAGTAGGAATTGAGTATTTAGAATTTCGATGTTGGCCACCGTCTCCATCTGTCTACCTAATCACACGTTAGATTCATTGTGAATTTGATTTGTAAATATTTTGAGAAGATAGTTAGAACATTCTCTTTTGCACGGCCTGTCGTCAAAGTCTACTGAGCGGAGGAATCCCAGCATTTCTTGCATTCAATGCACTTCCTCGCATTCATCCTCCACGAAGATCTTCGAATACTTCTCACGTTGTTTCGACTGCTGTTTCTGAATTTCACCTTCGGCAAGAATATCGTAGAATGCTCTTTGAGACTATCCTTCTTACAATCTTGGATGTAGCTGAACCTAGGCGTTCCCTAAGGTGGCTGAAGACTGTTTGCAGAGGAATGCTAAGGAATAGGAGCGACTCACCGCCTTGCTTATCACATTCTATCCTAAAAACTGCATCACTAGCCATTGCGCCATCCGTCCCACAATAATACAACAGAAATCAGTTATATTTCTGAATCGATCGCTATGTTTCTATTTCTTTATATTTTCTAACGAATCATTGAGTTCAGTCACCTTTTCGTTCAAGTGCGACTATGATCGTCCATTGAAGGAAACTAGAGTCAAAGTATTGAATCTTCCACAAAATGTCGTGAAAGAAACACTTTACTGATCACTATCTCCTTTCATGACTACATTCTACGTTCAAATGATCTCAGCTTCTGGCAACTGGCTCTCATTCATTGTCGGGTGTCCCGCATAGCTACAGTACATCGATGCGTCAGAAGGTAGCAATTTATATTGAACGAAGTAATTTATAGGAGGTAGCCATCGTTGGATTTTTTCTAGCTGAAAATTTTTGTAAAGTAAAATTTAAGAATATATAATTCTTCTCCGAATTGGGCTTTACTTCCCAGGGTCTATGAGATGAACTCGGTTGGGCTTCGAACCTACGAAAACCCTTTCCGCAGGCATAACGAAGACGCTTCCTTTCCCTTCGCTCTATTCCAGCTATGTTTCAATATTTTCACTGCTATCAGCAGGCCAGTGGTCAACAGGATTAATCGGGGAAGCACAAATTCGCATTGAACACAACCAAGCTGAAGCTATAGTGGTAATCAAAATGTTGCAATTCTATTTACCACCTATTCATTTTCCTCGTGAAAGAGTACTGTGTGGACTATTATTACAAGATTACTGGGATATCAACAAAACTCGGAACATCAATTGGGCTCTTTAGCCACCTGTTTTGAACCAGTATCACTAGTTTCCAGTCTACAAGATCTCGTACTCTCACTTGTAAAGGAAAATGTCTTCAATGTAGATGCATTTTCCGGAGATATTCCATCTCGTTCGTGTCTGATGTTTCCACATCCCAAAGGCAAACGTTGACTTTCCTGGAGAAATGATCCGGAAAAGCCATTCTCAATGGTAAGTGTGAGCGGGACGCGTTGCAGTTATTCAGTAGCTTTTTTGATGAGCAAGGTTGCTAACTAGATTCATTCATTACTACAGCAACTGACGTTTCATCGGTTTCATCTTCATCAGAGCCAAATTGACACGCATTCTATTCAGTCAAACCCCTCATGACCCCAGGAAAACAAACTGCGTAGACATATTTTTACGAGACTAGCGAAACGTCAGTCAGTGTTGTGCAATGAATCTGGTTAACAACCCTGTGTGTGCTCACCAAAATGCTAGTGATTTATTTGGTCGTGTCAAGGTTAAAACAAATTTGGTCCTGTTATCTACTGCAAAGGGCTTGTTGAATTCACAAGAAGACCATTGAGATCTTAGACTACAACTTATCATTAGAACATTCCCAATGGTTAGCCCATGAAAGTCACAGGTATGGAAAGATATTCATAAAACGGTAAGAAGATAAAGCACTTGGCGTCAGTCTATCGCTGTTGGGTTATGCATTCAAATCCATTCATAACGCATTAGGTTGGAAACTAAGTTCTGCCGTATTTTTTGCTATTTCTATTCTTTTACAATAAATTTATTTCTTGCTCTTTTTCATCGTGTTTTGTTTCACTTGAAAAGCTCGTGATCTCGAAATATGAAAATTTAAAACACTTTATTTTTGTAATTATTTTATATTTTCCTTAACTTTAGAATGAATACAAGTGCTTTATCGCCTCATCGACTTTGATAAAGCGTTTTCCCCCCAGGAATGTTGCGGAGACCTGAAAAAATGGTAATCACTTGGAGCAGCATCTGGTTATACGGTAGAGGAATTAAACGTTCCAACCTAGTTTTGCAATCTTTTGCAATGTTAGACGCGCAATATGTGAACGAGCGCTGTCCTGTCGCCGTTTCAATAAAGCTGTTGCAGCCAATTTTGACAATTCGACAGAACTTAGTTTTCTACCTGATAGTAGACTGAATACATGTTTGGCCTATATAATGACTTGAAGCGGTATATCAATATATCATATCAATGTTGCCACCTTCGCAGGCCCAAAAACTACCATTATGACGATCCGGGACAGATGAAGAATTAGGCTTGTTCGTGTGTGAAATCGACTGATCAGTGTCTATTACACATCTCTTACTACTGCTACTATAACTCAAGTGGAACATTTTTCACTAATGCTACTACTATAAACTTACATGCGTCATCATTTTGCGATCATTCGCATCACCGTAAAATATCATTTGGAAAAGGAAACCGCTTTATTTCGCAGGATCCTCGCACAGGAATCAAAAACATCTGAGCGTAAAGCTTTAGAAGCCTTTGGGATACATAGCAAAGGTCCGAAAATGAACCGAAAAGAGGAGTGCCTCGTAATGTCGCATAACCTTGAACGATACCTCAGGCTGATCTTTCCGGCCTGAGTTAGGCACAGCCCATTGATGAGCAGACCTTAAGCGGCTGGTCTTCAATGAATAACTGATAGACCTAAAACGTCAAAACGGTGAATGTTTTCAAAATGAAGCTTTTACTATGTAATCCAAATATTCATTTTTTACGCTCTCTGCTGGGGTTAAAGAAATTTTGGTTAGTGTATTGTGGATCAATTTAATCTTTCCAGGCTCTGAGTAAGGCGACTCGCCGAAACGTTAGCCACTACGATTATTGTAATCTTCATGTTGCATTACTAAGTGTATTGTTGTATTGCTCCATTAATATTCAATAAATAATATCGGTATTACCTCGTAACGGCTTAACAGAAGCAAACACGCTTCATTTTCAGTCAGAATATGTAACAGAGGCGCCGTATCACCTGTATCACCTGTCGTCCCGTTGATCGTCGAGTGACTCAAGCGGATACCAACAACTCTTCCATTTTTCCCTATCGCTTGCAAGAGTAGCCCAGTGGTCCTCCTCGCTCTAGGGATTAGCTGAGCATCATATCTTTCTTCTATCGCTTTCTACCGTATACCGTTTCAATCACGATATCAAGCCGTGCTGGTTGGTGAAAAAAAAGAGTATCTGACTGAATTGATAAGAATTAGTTTATAATAGAGTCACAGCTTCTCTGCGAGCTAATTTTCGTAGCGAAATAGGAAAAATGTTCTTTTTATCGTTGTAAATTAAATCGTTCGTGCGTCAGTATGCGGCGTTCTGGATAATTGGTTTACTACAGTATATAAATCGTCCTTGGCTCAATCCAGCGACCCATATCAAGCGGAGCCCTTCCTCCCCTAAGTACTCCCTCTCCTGGCCCAGTTAATTAGTGACAGACTAGTAGCGAGGGACAGAGCTACTAATTTGATACGATAATAGACCGCCGCAACTATATACAATCACCCAAACAATGTCTAGTAGATGATAATCGAGTTGAAATGATTTTATTTAACCGCCACTTGCGGTGTTATGATGGTACAATATATCCAATAGTGTAGAGTGCTCTGCAAAAAGTTTGCGTCAGCCGGGATTCGAACACATATCTCACTCTTTCCGGGAGCGTGTGCTAATCGTTGCATCACCGACGCTCGTTTTTACCCGTAGCCAGAACGTAGACGGTTGGCTGTTGACAGATAGCGCGTTGTAGAGAGTGCTGTACGGCACGAGCGTCGGAGGTGCAACGGTTCGATACGCTCCCGGAATGAGTGAGATCTGGGTTGGAATCCCGTCTGACGCAAACGTTTTTGCACATCACTCTACGCTGTTGGGTGTGATGTCTAGTAGAATCAAATATATGGACGTATCACCTAACATGTGACGAACGCTGGACAATTCACGCAAGCTTTATCACAGATTCACACCTAAATAAACCCCCGGTTGAATCGCAGACGGTTCACAGTGTTCAAGACGAGTCTAAGGGGTTGTCACGACTCACCAAACTACATACGAGTTAGAGATGAGGCTTTATTATATTAATTTGGATCCACAGAACTTTACAATGAATGACGCCTCTCAGAAATAGACATTCTTCTTCTTCTACAAAGCTAGGTTGCTAGTGTGTCGTTTTGGACTCGAAAGGTGAAGTATCTATAGGCGCCACTAAATACTAGGTCTTCATCCTGTATGCATGCTACAGCCAGTATTCGGATGTTTTATGCTTCTGTTGAGTTTATTCCGATACTTTTCTGCACGTGTGCATTCTATACGACAATTATGATTCATCATAGTAGTGAATGCAATTCAGATTGTAGTCGATTATCAATCGAACTACCGATCAGAGAACTCTTCCAAAACACGGCTATTTGTACCGTTCTCAATCCGGTACAGAGCTCTTCCTGACTAAAGCCCAATACAACACCTGTGCAAGCAAGTGACGATCGATTACAAGAAATCTGGCAAAAGAGCTCTACGCCCCGATATAAACTAGCGATAAGCATGCACATCAAAAAAGCAAAGCATGGTCATACAGTGCGCCGACTTTCACGTTTGAATCAAAACGCGTAATGGCGAACTGATTGAATTCACAAATCCTAAATCAGGCCTTAAGACATCCTATATTGGTACAATAAGGGAACGAAAGCGCAGTGTTTAGTGATACAGTGTACCAGAAGGCAAGACGCTGGTTGGATCCCTCTTCAGCACTCTCTTGAGGTCAATCAACAAAGCCTTGAGGAGCGCCCGAGCCTGACTACTTCTAAGATTGCAAGAAGAATCGTCTTAACCAACATTCTACAATTTCCATAAAAAAGAAGAAATCTTGAAGCAGAACCCGAAACAGCATGTGAAATGTTTGGAGATCTTTGTGAAGGGTGAATGCAAGAAAACGAATCGAATGCAAGAAGTTCCGGGATCGCGATGGTAAATTGCGATGCTGCGTCGTGCATGCGTATAATAAAAAATAGTATCACACCGGTAACCATTGCCCTACACTTATTTTTAAGCACTTTATTACTCGTCTTCAGAAGGTTGTTTTTTCCACTGTGCGGATCTCAGTACTTTCAGCATTCAATAGTTTTTCTTTCTCTTCTTAAAGATCTTAGAGTACTGGCAAGATTCCTTGCAATCTCGAGGATAGCCTTGTTGTGGCGTTCCATAAAGCGTACGTTGTTGACTGGCGGTGAGTATTGGGGATGGGATCCGTACCCATGCGAGCACCATAAGCGGTCGGCCACAGTGCCCCCACCCTATTTCCTTCATATTCTATACAATACTGGACTTCACATCTGATCGACATTATCTAGTTGCTAGAACCACACAATTCTACAAATGCCAGAAAAACGATTGCACCCGAATACTATACGTGGGGGACTGTTGTCGACAACAGCATGATTTCTAAGGCTCATATTTGTAATATATAAGAGATACCCACTGTACAACTTGGAAGGATGATTTTATGCGATACTATTTCTTAGCAGAATTTCAATGTAAATCAGCATGACCTGGAATATCAATTACAGTAAATCACCACGACATGCAGTGAAAATTCACAATGAGAGCAAATGTAATCGACAATTTTGGATCTATGACATTCAGGACGATTAATAATTTTATAAATACACGTTCATCGACGAATTCACATTCATCTCCTCAATTGTGCGTAAGATATCTCGGCGTCGCACTGAACTTCGCGTATCCTTTGATGACCTAAAGCCAAAAATAATGTTTTGAGATTTTATAAATTGGTCTTAAAGTTGAATTCCTAATGTAAAAATTCCAGGAATAAGCATCTAGATGATCGCAAAACAAATACAGATCCCGCCAAAAATGTAAATTCACGTTAACCAGTATTGTTTATGAACTTCGAACGCATAAACATTGCACTTCTGGATAGAAGAATCAGTGGATTACCCAAGTTAAAGAACAAAAAACTCAAACCACCTTATTGATTGCTTCCAAAAAGTCCTTCTCTGTAGCGACTTTGCGACGGGCTCGAATTGCAAACATTCCAGCTTCTGTGCATACGGAACGAATTTCGGCTCCTGAAATGCCACTTCATCAAAACCACGATTTTCAAAACTGAGAATTGCAATGGAATTTCATATTGTTTATTCTTACACGACCCTTTATCACATTTTATTGTAAGGATCATAGCACACTAGCATTTGATTCGTTTCCTCGCAATCATCTTTCACAGAAGTCTTCGAACATTTCACGTGTTACTGCGACTGCTGCCTGAGGATTTCGTCTTCTTCATGAATGACGTATAATGCTGGGCCGTAAATTTCTCTGCAATCTCGGAAAAATTCAAGCGAGGGATGTTCCGTTGAGGCGTTTGTTGACGCGGTTGCATGACAGTGTTGGGAGAAAGGGTTGCACCAGCACTTCTCTTTGGAATAGCCTGCATTACTGCTCACTTGGCCACAGGCCTTCATCCCGATAGTCATTATACTGAGACAATTTTGAATGGCACTTTTCGTATAATTGAGCTGAGCCTCGTAGACTCTTGAACGCATGTGAACCCATCATAGTCTCTGAGTCAATAACGTGTCAGTGTTTGATAAAACATGTCTTGAGAGGTGTGTCACGTTATGTCCATGCTGTTGTTGAATCAATGCCATTATCAATAGCGTTTTTGTACAAAGCGACATATAATGATCATTATGCGATCATGTTATTCCGAGTGCACAAGATGAAAACTAAGCCAGGCATTTTCAATCCATCCAACTCATAACCAGATATTGCAAGAGGGTATTACGGCACCACATTTCGGATAGATATAAAGCCAAAGCCAAAGTTCCAACTATCACACAACTGAGGTTCCTAGGAGTCACGATTGTTAGGCAACTGGGCATTATGGGGTTGCGCTCACTACTAGAACACCACTAGAACAATTGGCCAGCTTATGTACACAAGTCATTATCTGCACTATACGTGAGGTGCGCCAGATACACGGCGAACGCAAAACAATCAAACTAATAGTGACACTGAAGATGTGACAATTGGATCTTATCGTCCACGTCACATCGTAAGAACTGTATGATTGAGATTTTGTACCCATTTTTTCAACTTTAGAAGACTAGACCATTGTTTCATGCAGTAAGAACATTTATATCATTGTCAACTGGAAAATTATAGAGGGAATGTGGGGCATTGGCTAACGGGTGCATGAGAGAACACACCTGCACACTAGATCGACCCCTCGACCTCTGCATGACCAAGATCTTCCATTCTTCTAAGCAATAAACTAGAACGGTATTTTGTTTGGAAAATGGCAGCCCTGACTTGTAAAGCCTTGGTAAGCCTCATCAAGTCACTGCACAGGCCACGAATGTATTCAAATTATGTGAATGGATGCTTGATGCAGTTAAAAGCATGACGATGCCTCTCAGGAACTTATAGCTGCCGAAGCCATCAACTCTTATCAAGAAATTTCAAGTTATGATGGAACTTTAGTAAAATGAACTAGAAATGAATTTGACAAACAATCTGCATTTCACCTGATATAACGGACTCACCAGTACTGTTTGGACACAGACGAGCGAGTAAATCATATCGAATGTCCCGTTCAACGCTCATTTGTTTTGCATGTATCTTCAGGATATGTGCTCGTCCGGCCAAGTCAGGAAGGGCGAATTCAATTTTACGATCCAAACGTCCCGGTCTAATCAGGGCTGGATCAAGTGTATCAGGTCGATTCGTTGCCATGAGTACCTATATCAAATATGAGATATGATAGAATTTTTAACAATGCATTTACATAGCAGGGATCAACACATTTTTAAACTCATAAAATGAAGACTTCTATAAGATGAAACGACCTTTACCTTGATATTTCCTCGAGGATCAAAACCATCAAGTTGGTTGATGAGTTCAAGCATAGTACGCTGTACTTCATTGTCACCACCTTGACCATCGTCAAAACTGAAACTGCGTATTCTCAACAAAATGTGTAACCATAGGATTAGGCTATAAATATCAGATCTTCTCATAAGTTTTGATACTAGAGTATTGAACACTAAATTTATCAATCAGAAGTAATTAAAACACTTAACAACGATATTCATTTACGTATTTTTGTGGAACATTTTGGTACACAAGTTGCTTATACCTGCTTTTGCATGGAGCTGTCTTGGGACCAAATTCGCTTGCTGCTCATGCACGAATGGCGCGTAAGGGAAAAGACTAGTGAAGAGGCGCGCACAATTATTGGAACATGGGGTCGATGATAGGGTAGCAGAAAGAAACGGGTAGGAAGTGGTTCGCGAAGACCCAAACTGGACAGAACAGTCTAGAGGATCAGTCTCGCTCGGGCCATTCACAGGAAGCTCCGTTGATCATTGGCGCCGCTTCAATATCATTTTCTTCTACGCATCATTCATTTATAAGTAGCAAGCGAACTTGTTCCCAAAACAGTTCACCCTCAAAGCAAGGATAGGTGATTCGCATGCCAAAATGTTCGCATAAAATCCGCAGTTGAATAATGTTGTTAAGCAACTCTGAATAGTTTTAGTTGATGAAACTGTTGTTCGTTTCTCTAGTGTCAGAACTTACGAGAAGGCCCAATGATAAAGAACATTTCAGCAACACTGCCGATTAGGAAGTAACGATTCTCAAAAGTCATCAAACGATCAAACACCTACCGTGCACC